CGAGATCAGCCTGGCCAACATAGTGAAACCCTGTCTCTACTGAAAATACCAAAGGAAAAAAAAAAGCCGGGCATGGTGGTGCACACCTGTAGTCCCAACTATGTAGGAGGCTGAGGCAGGAGAATCCTTTGAACCCAGGAAGCAGAGGTTCCAGTGAGCTGAAATCGTGTCACTGCACTCTAGCCTGGGTGACAGAGAGAGACCCTGTCTCAAAAAAAAAAAAAAAACCAAGACTACCAGCCTGGGAAACATGGTGAGACCCCATCTCTATAAAAAAAATTTAAAACTAGCCAGGCATGGTGATGCTCACCTGTAGTTCCAGCTACTTGAGAGACTGAGGCAGGAGGATCACTTGAGTTTGAGTTGTTGAGGCTGCAGTGAGCTGACCTGTGATTGCACCACTGCACTCCAACCTCAGTAGAGAATTCTTTCTCAACAAAAGAAAACAAGCCCAGCAGCCAAATCCCTTGGTTTAAGAACTAGTAAATATTTACCATCATATCCAAAGCAGGAATCGCCTACAGCCTAGGTCAAAATCTGGCTCATCAATTGTTTTTCATACAGTTTGTAAGCTAAGAGTGGTTTTTATAGTTTAAATGGTTGGAGGGGGATATCAAAAGAAGAATAATGTTTCATGTCACATGAAAAATTTGTGAAATTAACCTTTTAGAGTTCATAAAGATGTATTTATTAGAACACAGTCTATTGTGTATCATCTGTGACTGCCTTCATGCTTACATTGCAGAGTTGAATAGTTGTGACAGAGACCATATGGCTGGCAAAGACTAAAATATTTACTATCTGGCTCTTTACAGAAAAAGTTGGCTAAACATTCTAAAGGGTCAGAAAGCTCAGTGTGAAACCGAATACGGGAGGTATTTTAGTGTTCTTGTCCTTCAGTGTTCAGTTGCCAGTTAGTTATCAAATGGTCCCATCTCCACATTTTTCAAGATCAAGCATTCTTATTTCTAGCTGTCTTGGTACTGTCTTCTAACCTATATTCAGTTGCATACAGTTGTCCTTACAAAAAGATAGTAAAGCCCCTGGATTTAAAGAAAAAAAACTATATTGACTCTCATATGATTTTCATCTCTCAAATGATTCCTTTAGTGTTCATGTCCCTCAGTATTGAACAACAGTATTGAATACTGTAGAGTCTTCTGTCATTAATTAGAAAACAATAGGAAGAGTGGCTCACGCCTGTAATCCCAGCGCTTTGGGAGGCTGAGGCAGTCATACTGCCTGAGCTCAGGAGTTCAAGACCAGCCTGGGCAACATGGCAAAACCCTGTCTCGGCCGGGCGCAGTGGCTCACGCCTGTAATCCCAGCACTTTGGGAGGCCGAGGCAGGCGGATCACAAGGTCAGGAGATCGAGACCATCCTGGCTAACTCGGTGAAACCCCGTCTCTATTAAAAATACAAAAAATTAGCCGAGCGTGGTGGCGAGCGCCTGTAGTCCCAGCTACTCGGGAGGCTGAGGCAGGAGAATGGCGGGAACCCGGGAGGCAGAGCTTGCAGTGAGCAGAGATGGCGCCACTTGCAGTCCAGCCTGGGTGACAGAGCGAGACTCTGTCTCCAAAAAAAAAAAAAAAAAAGAAAAGAAAAAAAAACCGTCCCTACTAAAAATACAAAAAAAATTAGCTGGGCCTGGTGGGGCACCTGTAATCCCAACTACTTGGGAGGCTGAGGCACGAAAATTGCTTGAACCCAGGAGGCGGAGGTTGCAATGAGCTGAGGTCATGCCACTGCACTCCAGCCTGGGCAACAGAGTGAGACTGTCAAAAAAAAAAGAAATGAAATGAAAGGAAGGGAAAGGGAGAAAACGGTAGGAAGAGATGGAGCTGTCTGTGTTTTCCCATATGAGTCTATCAGGCGAGTGCTTCATAGTAACCTCTATAAGGAATGATTTTTTTTTTTTTTTTTTTTAAATCATACATGAGGCTTTTAATGGGAGAAATAGTTGTGGACAGGAATTGGGGATTCAAATCAGAATCCCCTTTTAATGGTGATTTCGCAGTACTAATACCCTTTCAGACAAACCTTCCCTGTAAGCCATGGAGCACAATCTGGACTGAGTTGTGGTCCTTTTACTGACTTTTACTTACTGACTTCCTTTTAAAGTCCTCTCCATTCCCTGTGGGCTGTGCTTGGCATTGTATATCCTCAGGAAGACATTTGACAATCTACTGCTCACCCAAACTAACCAGAGTGAGTGCTTTATTTTAGGGAACCTTTGCCATTTCTTTTTACAGCCACCTTCTTGCCAGTGTTTAGAATAATCAGTCATTCCACAGATCTACCCCCATTAACACCCTCCTCCAAAAAACTCAGAATACAAAAAGCTAGACGTAGAGATTATTACAGATTATTGCTCTGTTGGTATTTCAGATCCTCTGGAAGGTTGGATATTTATCTGTATTTAGGAGTTGGATTTAAGTTGATCCCTTTCTTATACCCCTTTCTAGTATACTTATAGTACTTTAAATCTCCCTCCACAGGTCAGATACCAGGCCCAGGTTCCATGATGCCCGGGCAGCACATGCCAGGCCGCATGATTCCCACTGTTGCAGCCAACATCCACCCCTCTGGGAGTGGCCCTACCCCTCCTGGCATGCCTCCAATGCCAGGAAACATCTTAGGACCCCGGGTATCCCTGACAGCACCTAACGGCATGTGTAAGTAACACGGTAGGGGGATGCATTATCCCAGGGTCTGTCCTGGAGGGCTGTAGATAAGGGAAGGAGGCTTTGTTCTCTCCCCGAGATTTGGCAGGTCCATGGATGATGCAGTCTGTGACAGTGGCTTCTAGAAGACCAGTTTTCAGTCTTTGTTCTTAGGCACCCCGATGGACAGGTGCACAGATGACAAAATGCTTCTAATCAGGGTTGTGCCTTTATGGCATGCACTGTCGGCATTGGGGCCAAAAAGATATTCCTCTGTTTAAGCCTGTCTCATTATGACTCTCAACAGACATGTAGAGCTACTGGTGGTGATTTTCCCTACAGCAGCCTTTTGTGGATACAGGGTTCAAAAGTGATGTGTGTAAAGAAAAGAAGTGAGTTTAGAGCTGGAATAACATATGTTTCTTGTAGCCATTCTTGATGTATTAGTAGTGGCTGTGTAGGCTAAGAAAGTAGTATTTGGGGTCTGTGTTGAGAGGAAATACGAAGTCCCAGCAAGCTCAATGAAGAAAGCACTGGTGCTGCTAAGTGATAGTTGTCTGAGGCTGTGTTTAGAGGCCAGGTCATTTCTCCCATAGGCTCTTGCTCGGCTTCAGCCTTGGCCTGAGGGTTGTTTCAGAGACCCTGGCCTGCCTTTTACTCCAGAAGGTCTTCCCAGTGAGGATGATGCTGAAATGCAGCCAATAGTGGGTCGGGTACCCCAGCCACATCTGTAATCTTAGGTTCATGTAGAAGTTCACGTGTGGCCAAAAGTTTAGCTACTATTTATAGTTCAGAAAGATAGGAAGCATAAGAATTCTTGCTCTGTAGGAGCTTTAGTTGGGAAAACAAGAAATGAAAACTTGGATAGAACTTAGCAAATGTTACATGAAGGCATATAGAACTTACCATAGGTTACGTGAGACTACGATGTGCCTTAAGTACACTGTAATACTCTGGGAGGTTTCACAGACTGAGACGTGTCTTACTCTTCTCTGGCCCCCAGAGTCTGGGACAAAGTAGATACACAAAAGAAAGACACTAATTTATCTAGGTATATAAGATCACAACAATTTTTTTTTTAATTACCTCCCTTAAGCTAGTGGTCAGAGGTTGTATAGTACAGTTGGTACCTCTTTTTCTTGGCAAGAAAATGTTTGCCAAGCCACCCTGCAAACCGTACATAAATGAACCCGCCTGTCAGGAGAGTTGACCAGTTTTCCATCCCTGTTGCAGAGGTAGTGTCACTGGTCTTTACCAATTTACCACTGTCATGCCCTGCTGGTCACGCATGTTTTGCACTTCAGGATTCCTTCCCAAAGGGACCTCAGTAGAGCTCGTTGAGAATGTGGAGGGTTTCAGGTGGAACCTTCCCACCTGCTGCCTGGTTCCTACCATAAGTCAGTGCTCTGGGAATTCTGAGCCATGTGAATTGGTTCTAGGATACTAGGTAGGCCACACTGGATGAGTTGCTTCTCCACTTCAGCCCTTCATTTCCTCCACTGAAAGATGACACAAGGGATTAGATCAGTGAGTTTCAAAATGCATTGAAGAGTCTTAAGGGTTTGGTAGAAACCTCTTGGGCATAGAGTTGGGTGAATTGATTGGTGAGCAAGGCTGCACTTTGTTTCATATGTTTTCAATTCTGGCAAGATCTAGGGGTTTTTAAAACCCAGATTAAATGATCTCTAGGGTTCCTTTGTACACTAAAGCAGCTAAAGTTGACATAGGAAAGAGTCCCAGACACTCATACTAATTGTTCCCTTCAGGACATGACCTAGTTTGGGCCAAAAATCGAAGGACTGCAGTTCAGGAGCTGTGGAGGCCTCCCTGGACTATCCAGTTTGTCAGCAACTGCCTCAAGTGAAGCTCTCTGGCCCTGGTGGAGACATTTAAATAGCAAGAATTTATTGATAATCTCTTGTGTGCCCAGCTAGGCTAGGGACTTATGGGAGAAAGAAAAATAAGACATAGAACTGTCCCAGGAAGGAGCTTATTATTTAACTGAAGAAATAAAATTAGAACCATTGAAATACAATGAAATCAAAATTAACTTCTGAACAATTCGTGGAAGGAGTTGGCCTGGAAGGAGGGTGGGGGAAATTCAGACACCTCCCACTCCCCAGCCACTAGGGTTAGGCTAAGCAACATGAGCAGCACCCTGGAGATTCAGAAGGAATTGACCTGCATAGACCACAGTGGAATCAATGCCTCAGAGGGTGCATTGGTTGCCTGCCACTAAGAAAATGACTTCTGTGTCTTTTTTTCATTGAGTAGGCTCTTTCCTCTAAGTCCCTTGTATTTCCAGCAATAACGAGTTACTCTTGGATATGTTTGCAGATCCCCCTCCACCACAGCAGCAGCCGCCGCCACCACCACCTGCAGATGGGGTCCCTCCGCCTCCTGCTCCTGGCCCACCAGCCTCAGCTGCTCCTTAGCCTGGAAGATGCAGAGAACATCCACGTCCACCACCATGAGCTGGAGTGGGGATGACAAGACTTGTGTTCCTCAAACTTTCTTTGGTTTCTTTCAGGGTTTTTCTTCTCACAGCTCCAAGCACGTGTCCAGTGCCTCCCCACTCCTCTTACCACCCCTCCTTCTGACACTTTTTGTGTTGGGTCCTTAGCCAACACTCAAGGGGAAACCTGTGGTGACAGTGTGCCCTGGTCATCCTTAAAATAACCTGCATCTCCCCTGTCCTGGTGTGGGAGTAAGCTGACAGTTTCTCTGCAGGTCCTGTCAACTTTAGCATGCTATGTCTTTATCATTTTTGCTCTCTTGCAGTTTTTTGCTTTGTCTTATGCTTCTATGGATAATGCTATATAATCATTATCTTTTTATCTTTCTGTTATTATTGTTTTAAAGGAGAGCACCCTAAGTTAATAGGAACCAAAAAATAGTGATGGGCAGAAGGGGGATAGCCACAGGGGACAAACCTTAAGGCATTATAAGTGACCTTATTTCTGCTTTTCTGAGCTAAGAATGGTGCTGATGGTAAAGTTTGAGACTTTTGCCACACACAAATGTGTGAAAATTAAAAGAGATGTGGAAGGAGAACCTCAGTGATTTTATTCCCTAGTGAGGCCTCTGAGGGCCTCCACACTGCCTGGCAGAACATACCACTGAACTAGTATGTGCTAGAGGAGAGCACAAACATCCGCTCCTTCCCTAGGCCCGCTGGCTCTGGTTTTCTATGCAGATGATTCATTGGATTGGGGGTGAGTGTTTTGTTTTTCTGGGGGCAATTTGACCTTTGAGGGTTGTAATATTGGGAAGCATTCCTTAGTTTCCTCAACTAGCCTTGAAAGTTAGGAGTCTTGGGTAATGACCCCTGCAATGAGTCTAGCCTACTATTCACTGCTTTGTGTGCATTTTTTTTTTCTCCCTCTTTAAAAAACCCTTTACAAGAAGAAAAAAAAAAAAAAGTAGATAGTGCTGAATGTTTTAGCTCGTGAAACTTGGTTAGGATGGCTGGGGGTACAAGTCCCCAAACTACCTCTTGTTACAGTAGCCAGGGAGTAGAATTTCATGAACCGGTACTTTTAAGGTTAGGATGGGATGGGAAAAGTGAAGCAGGATATTAGTTCCTTGTACCTTCTCCCTTCCATTTCTGAGAATCTCACATTCCATCTATCACAGGGTTTTCAAAGAGATGCTGAGGGTAACAAGGAACTCACTTGGCAGTCAGAGCATCATGCTTTGAGGTTTGGGGTGCTCAGGCTGGGAGGGTAGAATGCCATTCCAGAGGACAAGCCACAAAAATGCCTTAATTTGAGCTCGTATTTACCCCTGCTGATAAGTGACTTGAAAGTTCCCGGTTTTCTCGTCCTTCCCTCCCTTCTGTCCTTCCATGTGTGGGGAAAGGGTGTTTTTGGTAGAGCTTGGTTTCCAAAGCGCCTGGCTTTCTTACTTCACATTCTCAAGTGGCAGTTTCATTATTTAGAATGCAAGGTGGACATCTTTTGGATATCTTTTTCTATATATTTTCTAAAGCTTTACATATGAGAGGGTATAGGGAACTTTTTTCCTTAATATCAGAAAGCAAAAAAAAAATAAAACCACAATTGAGATTTGCCTTTCAAACCCTCAGGTTTGCCTCTAACCAGGTGTCCCTGGTCACCATCAGAGTACTGGAATACTGGAACCGAGGAGACCTTGGTCCTTTTGTTTTTGTTCTGGACTCTTGGGAGTGGAAAATGGGAATGAGTTTATTCCTACTGGAGTTTAGTTCCAATGCATTTGGCTCCAGAAAGACCCCAGTGCCTTTTGACAATGGCCAGGGTTTTCCCTACTTCCTGCCAGTCTTTCCCAAAGGAAACTCATTCCAAATACTTACCTGTTCCCCTGGAGTCCTAGAAGGAAAATGGAATTCTGGTTCATACTGTGGTCCCTTGTAACCTCAGGTCTTTAATGTGATCACTTTCAAATTTAAAAGATCCAGGTGGAAATATTTTTACTATAATAATAATTCTACAAAATACCTGAATTCTTAACACTGTTATATTTCAGTATAAGTGGTGGCTTTTTCTTTTCATGTCTTTGATCTGGTTTTATTCCTGTAATTCACAGCCACCTGATTTTGTGAAGGGGGGGGAATAATACGTGGTTTTTGTACAAACATGTTTCTCAGTGTGTTGTTATTTTGGAGAAAATGAGGGGAGGGAGTTTGGCGAGATTGGAGAAAATGAATGAAGAAGGCCTAATCTCCCTCTTTTTCAGTGAATAAATGGAACACCATTTCTGGATTCTAGTCCCATTTTCTGCATTCATATACCAGTTTCTTCATATATCCTATGAAGAACCTAAACATTTGGCCCCGCCTTGTCTTGGTTTGGTCGGCAGTTAAAATTCTGTGACTCGGGCTTCCTTTCTGACTGCCCACCTGCACGATGTGTAAGGAACATACATTTTGAGCATACCTCACCCAGTGTTCATTTGCATGGTCAAAGTGAAAATGAGTGGAAGTTCTCCAAAAATGATGGCCAACATCCTGGCACCTCCTGGTGTGAGAAATAGCTTTCCTTAGTGAATGGGATAATGTTTGTCAGGATGCAGTTTAGACAGTCCCAAGTTGGAGGCAGGCCTTGAGGGCAGAAGGTTCTGTGAACCTTGACATACTCTAAGGACAATAAACCCTGTGCAGAAAAAAGAAGTGATTGTTTTCAGGATGCTCATAAATCCAGTGAAGCAAAAGAAGAGGATTCTGTGTCTGCCATGAGATGAATGCCCTGCTCTTCACAAAAGTGTGCCTCTAATAAAGAGAGCCAAAGCCAGCTGGGTCTCACCAGATTCCTGTACTTTCTCAAGGGTGATGGGGAAGGTTAATCCTTTATTCAAACTAAAGACTGGTTTATAAACTTGAGTGTGAATTATTTTTAGGATATTGGAGGACATGCATGATCAACTAGTCTTACATAGGTTCCCTGGGTCCTTACCATGGAGTAATTCCCCCACATTCAATTAAGAATAGTTTAGGCTGGGTGCAGTGGCTCACGCCTGTAATCCCAGCACTTGCATTTTGGGAGGCCAAGGTGGGCTGATCACCTGAGGTCAGGAGTTTAAGACCAGCCTGGCCAACATGGTGAAACCCTGTCTTTAGTAAAAACAAAAAATTAACCAGACATGGTGGCATGCACCTGTAATCCCAGCTACTCGGGAGGCGGAAGTTGCAGTGATCTGAGATCGCACCACTACACTCCAGCCTGGGTGACAGTGAGACTCCATCTCAAAAAAATTTTTTTTTAGAGATGGGGTTTTGCTCTGTCACCCAGGCTAGAGTACAGTGGCATGATCATAGCTCATTGCAGCCTTAACCTCCTGGACTCAAGTGATCCTCCCGCCTTAACCTCCCAAAGTGCTGGGATCACAGGTGAGAGCCACCACGCCCAACCAAATTTTGCTTGTTTTTGTTTTTGTTTTTGTTTTTTTGAGACACAGTCTCGCTCTGTTGCCCAGGCTGGAGCGCAGTGGCGCCATCTCGGCTCACTGCTGCAAGCTTCGCCTCCTAGGTTCCCGCCATTCTCCTGCCTCAGCCTCCCAAGTAGCTGGGACTATAGGCACCCGCTACCACGCCTGGCTAATTTGTTGTGGTTGTTTACTATTAGTAGAGACGGGGTTTCGCTGTGTTGGCCAGGATGGTCTTGATCTCCTGACCTTGTGATCTGCCCATCTCGGCCTCCCAAAGTGCTGGGATTACAGGCGTGAGCCACCGCGCAGCCCAATTTCGCATTTTTAACAAGTTCCCAGGAGATGCTGATGAAGCTGGTCAAGGAACCAACCTTGGAGAGCTAGTGGTTAAGAAGGTCGTATGATAGAGCAAGATCCCTACAGTTCCTTACAGTTTATTGTATGAGATGTTTCATACAGTAAACATTTGAGGAGCTACTATTTGCCAGACATTGGTCAATTAATACAGTGAAATTGCAGTTGTGAATACAGTATGCAGGGCCTATGCCATCCAGGCCATTTATTCTAATGGGGTGGGGTACAAGACCATAAATGGTTAAAAAAAAATGTTTTGTATTCTTCCAAGTGTTCATAAAGAAAATAAATGCAATCAAGAGTTTCCTGGAGGTGGGGCGTGGTGGCTCATGCCTGTAATCCCAGCACTTTGGGAGGCCGAGGCGGGTGGATCACCCAAGGTTGGGAGTTCAAGACCACCCTGACCAACATGGAGAAACCCCGTCTCTACTAAAAATATAAAAAAATTAGCCGGGTGTGGTGGCACATGCCTATAATCCCAGCTTCTCGGGAGGCTGAGGCAGGAGAATTGCTTGAACCCAGGAGGTGGAGGTTGCGGTGAGCTGGAGATCACGCCACTGTACTCCAGCCTGGGCAACAGGAGCAAAACTCTCAAAAAGTTTCCTGGGGACAACTTCCGGGTGGACAATGTGGATAGTCTGTGAATTGCGTGGTCTCCCATGATTTCTGTCCTGCTGGATATGGTAGCCTGAGGGGTTGACCTTCATTCTGGAAAAATACCCATCTGAATACCCAGAGCACCCTTTTGTCTATATAATGCCAGTTTGTGAGAGTACTCTGCAAACCGCTCTGCCTGTAACTGTTTATTACAAAACCCCTGCTTTCTACAGTTCCAGGAGCATAGTTCTTTTGCTCCCATTAAAGGGGGGTGTCTTCCTGGAAACAATGTGAAAGTACCCTCAATTCCCTGTTGATGGATTATCTCCATTTAAGGAGGTCGTTTCAGAATGGGATGGGAAAGGTATATCCCTGAAGGAAGCGCTACCTGCCTTCAGACCCAAACCTCCTTTGTTGGATCTCCTTGTGAGCAGCTCCTCCCCCCAGCTTCATTTCCCTGTGGCTTGTTTTTAGGCATGCCAGCACTCTGGCCATTAGGATACACCTGTGATCCTGAAGTCCTTGGGACAAAGTTGAGGCAACACTGTCATACACAAAGGGTGACTAAAGGGATAGAGAAGGTGCTATGAATCAAACTAAACAGGTTCCAAAACCAACTGTAGCTAGCTCTAGCCCTGTTCCAATTCTTACGGAACCCCTGCTCTTAGCCTGCCACGCAGAATTGTTGTCATCTTTACTACCACTGCCCCCAAAGACCTTTCCATGCCCTTTTAACCTATAGAGGGCAGCCAGTTGACTAATTCTGACAGCAACTTTACCCTTCAGGGGAGATACTCCCACCTCCCCTTAGGATACAGCTTTTGCAGGCCTCTGGAAAATAGCCGTGCCTTAATACAGTGTGACAACCACCTTCAGACAAGTGACAAGGAAAATGCCTCCTGCTCTGGTTCTGTGGCAATCTACCATCTAAGGTGCTCTCTCAGGGCAGTTGGTCCAGAAGAATGTAAGGAAGTGGGAACAGTCTTGGATGGTAATAGCTACGCAGTTTCATTCTGATCCTCCCTAGCAGATTTCTGTAGCAGTTTCAGAACTGAGCAGGTGATAGACGGTGGATCCAACCAAATCAGCACAGGCTGATTGATGTGTCTGGTTTGGTCCAGACATGGATGGGTTTCCTGTGGCATCCCTGTTTGCAGTCAGCTTATTCCACAGTAGCTACAGGATGCCCGAGAAGTGCTTAGGTCACCTGCTGAGGCAGCAGGTCTCTTCTGCAGACAAACAGTTGCTTGGCTGGGCGCAGTGGCTCACACCTGTAATCCCAGTACTTTGGGAGGCCCAGCCAGGCAGATCACCTGAGGTCAGGAGTTCGAGACCAGCCCGGTCAACATGGCAAAACCCCATCTCCACTAAAAATATAAAATTACCCAGTGTGGTGGTGCATGCCTGTAATCCCAGCTACTCGGGAGTCTGAAGCAGGAAAATTGCTTGAACCCCGGAGGTGGAGGTTGCAGTGAACCAAGATCATGCCATTATACTCCAGCCTGGGCAACAAGAGCAAAACTCTCAAAAAAAAAAAAAAAAAAAAAAGTTTCTCCACATGGTGAGGCCCTGTGTTTGCTTGTGCTATGTGGCTTTCTCCCTGCTGGTTTGGCTTTGGGGTAATGAAATTCAAGAGGCCTTTCCCATCTGGTTGCAGACCCATTGCCTGAACAAGATTACCACCTTCTTCAGGTTGTGATGTCCTTAGATGACAGCACTTGCTCAACTGAGAATCCAGAGTTTTCTGCAGTGCGGAGGTGGTGGTCAGCACAAAGAACTCAGACCCCTACCTCTTAGCCCTTCCCTTTCTGGGGATGGTGTAAAGAGGCACATCACATAAAATGGTCACAGAGCAGACTGCCATGCAGCCTAGAACCAGGAGTCTGGTCTTGTTGCTGTGTTCCCTGGTAAGAGATCATGGCATTATTTCTTAAATGGCTAAGTGAAGGTAGGAGAGTTGGGGAGGGGAGGAGGGAGGTCCTCTGTTCTGCCAATTGATAGTCTACCTCTGTGTCCTGATTTCTCAAGCAAGAATGAAAACCTCCATATTGAAACGAAAGGGTTTGGAATCAGGGTCTTTGTTCAAATCCTGTCCTTACCACTTCATTAGCGTACTCTTGGACAAAATTGCTAATTCTCTCCATTTGCAGATGTGTAAAATAGGACTGACAAGATATTTGTAGTGTGATTGTGAAGAATTAGGCACATTAGCACAAGGAAAACTAAAAACTCATTAATATGTTTGTGTTAGCCTGTTTGTGTTGCTATAAAAGAATACCTGAGATTGGGTAATTTATAAGGAAGAGTGTGTTTGGCTAACGGTTCTGCAGGCTGTACACAACATAGAGCCAGCATCTGCTTCCAGTCAGGGCCTCAGGAAGCTTACAATCTTGACTGAAGACAAAGGGGAGCCAGCATCACATGGTGAGAGCAGGAGTGAGACGAGAGGAGGTACTAGGTTCATGTAAACAACCAGATCTCACATGAACCCATGAAGCAAGAACTCATTACCTTGAGCACCAAGCCATTCATGAGGAGTCCACCCCCATGGCCCAAACACCTCCCACTAGGCCCACCTCCAACACTGCATGTCACATTTCAGCATGAGATTTGGAGGGAATAAAACATCCAAACCATATCAATGTTAATGGTTAATACTGAGGACTTAAAGCCGGGATCTTCCAGTCCACGCAGCTATGCCCCCAACCATGGCAATTGTAGCACTCCTGCTCTGGACTGCAGCCCCCTGGTCAAACCAGGGGCTTTTCATGCAGATGGAGGCTGGCTGCTTTCATGGCAATGGACCTTGAGCCTACCTGAGCCCTGGAGCCAGGCTGCCAACCCAGTAAGAACCTCAGAGGCATGAAGAAACTGTTGCCACATAAAACATCCCTGATGCCCAGATGCAAGAGACATAAATATGGGGACATGGGTGTAAGGACGTCAGTTTCCCTTTTTTTCACTCTGTGGTTCCTACATCTTCTGTCTCTTTTCTACCCTACCACAGTCCTGTGCTCAGAATAAATGTTCATTTGACACTCTGGTTACCAAGCACTTTCACATATGAGAGACAAGTTGCTAACTCAAAGTCACACTGATGCTGAATCCTGCCCTTCCCATCACATTCCACTGGCTGAGTTTTCCCATTCATCTTGTGGAGGTGTTACCCAACCAAGTGTGCTATGCTCACTTCTCAAACTGCTATTGAGATCCACTAGGGAAGATCAGAACGAAACTGAGTAGCAACAATTGATTTAAAAACCCAAATTGGGCAGGGCATGGTGGCTCATGCCTGCAATCCCAGCACTTTGGGACGCCAAGGCGGGCGGATCACCTGAGGCCTGGAGTTCGAAACCAGTCTGAGCCAACATGGAGAAATCCCGTGTCTACAAAAAATACAAAATTAGCCAGGCGTGGCATGCCTGTAATCCCAGCTACTCAGGAGGCTGAGGCAGGAGAATCACTTGAACCCGGGAGGCAGAGGTTGCAGTGAGTGAGTCAATATCACACCATTGCACTCCAGCCTGGGCGACAGAGCAAGACTCCGTCGCAAAAAAAAAAAAAAAAAAAAAAAAAATCCACATTGAAGTAAGTGTTAGCAGACTTCATCTCCAGGAAAGGGAAGATACTTAAATAGTTAACACAATATATTTAAAATGAGTGGGAGAACTTCCTCCATCAAATGCTGTTGAAAACGTGTGAGTGGTTGTCATGCCCCAGACATCAAGGAACCCATCCATGAGGCCTTCCCACACAGACCGACCTCAGGAAGGGAAGGAGGAAGTAGGCCATTCTGACAGCCACAACCTGAGTTGAGGAAACAAGCAGAGGAACACAGAGAGTCTACATACAGTAAAAGGTGACAGGAGGTAAGCTGCACACAAGGGAAGCCGAGATGGGTTGGAGGCAATTAAGGGTGTGTTGCTGCCTCTGTGGCCAAGAGGTGAGTGCAAAGCCCTACGGTGCCCTGTTTAGAGAAGGCTATTGTTTCAAACATATTTTACTTGGTCCCTGGAGGCAGCATGAAACTGTGAAAGAAAGAGCCTTACCCCTTTTTTCAAGGAGCTCCAGACCACAGTTATGGGTTGGGTGTGGGTGGTTGCCATTCGTTCATTTATGCCTGTCTGATATGGAGCCTCCCTCTGTTACCAGCCCTGTGCACTCAAGTGCCTTGCAGTCCAGTGAGGATTAACTGTAGGTAAGATGAGATGATGGGCATAAGTGTAACTGCTGAGGAGGCTTCATAAAGGGAAAGGTGATAAGAACTGAGCTTTTCTGGCATGAGGAGTTTACCAGGCAGGAGAAGTAGAGACGCTAGGCTAGGCAAATAGGCTGCAGCCATAATTCTGTGGAGAAACAGGTGTTGAACCAAGGCAACTCCATCTGGAGACATGTATAAGAAAGATTAGGAGATGGAATCTCCATCTTGGTCACTTACTTGGTCCTCTAAGACAGAAATGGGACCGAGAGTCTCTTAAATACTGGAGTTGTCCTGTCTCCTTGGGCTGATACCCTGAACTGTCACATTTGGGTGAATAACACATTAAGGGGTAGACGGTCAGTTTGGGGGAATAAACTAAGTGACTAGGTTGCGGTTCCTCCTCCCAACTAAGCAGACCTCCTGGTGAGTGGTCTTGGGTTGCCCTGTGAGCCCTGAAGCTGTGAATGGGCCCCACAGATACTCTAAAGCCAGGCGTCCATGTGTGCCCGGCTGGGGATCTAGGCCCCCCTGGTCTACCTAGGAATCTGAGTCTTGGTGGTCTGAGACACCTGGGGGACGACGTATCCCGGAGAAGGGACCAGGATTAAAGGCCACTCCCCAGGCTGCCCGGAGGAGGCTAGAAGGAAGGCGAGGTAGCCGCAGTCCCAGGGAGGGTCTCACCCCTTGCTCCAGGGATGCGTTCTGGCGGGCCTGGCTGTGCGAAATCTGGGCTAGTGGCTTTGGCTGCGAACGGATTAGGTCTGATCCGATTAGAGCCTGGGCCGTCGGCTTCGCCCCCTTGCCAGGCTCTGCCAACGCCCGCCCCTCCCTGGTGGAGACCCGGAGACCTCCCTGAGAGCCTTCCCGCCCGGAACACGGGATTGGTGCAGAAATTCGAGAGGCTCCATGCGCCCCGGGCCTGGCTTGTTTCCACAGTGGGGGCTCTTGCTTCCGCCCCCTGCGGCTCTTCTGAGCCCCGCCCCGACCTTGCGGGTATCTGGGCCCGCGACGTCCCCGCCTCCATGCTTGCCGCGTGGCGGGTGGGTTCCTCCGGGTCGGGGCCCCGTGCCGCCTGTTCACCTGGGGCAGGACCGTGGCCCCATCCCACAGGTCTCCCGCCCGTGCACCTGTCGCCTAACGCCGCTTGCCGCGCCGCGCAAGTACGCTTGCCCAGCGCTCCCAGTCCATGTGTCTCCTAGTCCCCAGCGAGGGGTCTGTCTGTTCCCCTGGCAGGCGGACCGAGGGGCCGGCGTCAGCGCTACGTGCGGCGGGGCCGGCGCGGCGGGCGGGGTGAGGGCGGCGCTGAGCGCAGCGGCGGCAGCGGCGGCGCGGGAGGCGGGGAGGCGCGGCGCGCCGGGGACAGCGGCGGACGGCGGCGGCGGCATGCGGCTCCTCGCGCTGCCCATCGTGGGCTGAGGCGTCCGCAGAACGGGCGGGAGGCGCGGCGGCCGGGAGAGCCGAGGGCGCAGCCAGCCGGGCGGACCGCGGACAGCGGTCGGGGCGCCGCGCCATGGGGCGAGCCGGGGGCGGGGGCCCGGGCCGGGGGCCGCCGCCACTGCTGCTGCTTCTGGGGGCCGCGCTGGTCCTGGCCTCTGGGGCCGTGCCGGGTAGGTATGACTGCGCCCGGGACCCCCGCGGCCCTCGCGCCCCACCCAGGGCAGGGGTCCCGCTGGCTGCAGGGACAGGTGGAGCCGTGAGCTGTGGCAAGGGGGCGGGGCACCGCCTAGCCACGGCCGGGCGTCGGAAAGGTCCCAGGAGGTGGTGGGGGTCCGGGGAAGGCCGACCCGGATGGAGGCCGACCCAGGTGGGGGTAGCCGGGACCCAAGAGCGCGGGCCAATGTGCGGGCTGGGGGCGGGGCCGGGGGCGGGGCTGGGGCGGGGCCTGAGGGTGAGACTTCAGGGCGGAACCTGGAGCTGAAGGAGCGAGCCTGTGGACGCGGCTCAGGGTGGGTTCCCGAGGGTGAGACTTCTGGGTGGGCCGAGCTGGGGGCCGCCCTAGCCTGGCTCCTCAGACGGCAGGGCAGGTCCGGCGGGACCCGAGCCGCGAGCCGTTGGACGGGCTGTGATCCTGGGCTTGGGGGCAGACTCCGGGACGGGGCTTAGAGGTGCCGGGTGAATGGGGTCACACTGGGGCGGTGGGGTCTGCGGGTGGCGGGGTCTGGGTTGACCGGGTCTAGGCAAGCTGACCTGGCTGGGTCGGGCCCGGGCTCCAGGGCTCCCCAGCGCGCCGCCCTGACGCCCCGCCCCTCGCCCTCCCGCCCGCAGCGCGTGAGGCGGGCAGCGCGGTCGAGGCCGAAGAGCTGGTGAAGGGCAGGCCGGCGTGGGAGCCGCGTGCCAACGACACGCGAGAAGAAGCCGGCCCACCAGCGGCTGGGGAAGATGAGGCGTCGTGGACCGCGCCTGGCGGCGAGCTGGCCGGGCCAGAGGAGGTGCTGCAGGCGACCGGCACCGCCTGGCTGGAGGCTGACAACCCAGGCCTGGGAGGAGTGACCTCAGAGGCGGGTAGTGGCGATGCCCAGGCCCTTCCAGCTACGCTCCAGGCTCCCCACGAGGTCCTCGGGCAGTCAGTCATGCCCCCTGCCATTCCTGAGGCTACAGAAGCCAGCGGGCCACCCTCCCCCACCCCTGGCGACAACCTGAGCCCAGCTTCTGAACTCCCCAAGGAGAGCCCCTTGGAGGTTTGGCTGAACCTGGGGGGCAGCACACCCGACCCTCAAGGGCCAGAGCCGACTTACCCCTTTCAGGGCACCCTGGAGCCCCAACCGGCATCAGATATCATTGACATCGACTACTTCCAAGGATTGGATGGTGAGGGTCGTGGCGCAGACCTGGGGAGCTTCCCAGGGTCACCAGGAACCTCAGAGAACCACCCTGATACTGAGGGAGAGACCCCTTCCTGGAGCCTGCTTGACTTATACGATGATTTCACCCCCTTTGATGAATCTGATTTCTACCCCACCACATCCTTTTACGATGACTTGGATGAAGAGGAGGAGGAGGAGGAGGATGACAAAGATGCAGTAGGAGGTGGAGACCTAGAAGATGAAAATGAGCTTCTAGTGCCCACTGGGAAGCCCGGTCTGGGGCCCGGGACAGGCCAGCCCAACAGTCGATGGCATGCTGTCCCTCCACAGCACACTCTGGGGTCGGTCCCCGGCAGCAGCATCGCCCTCCGGCCCCGCCCAGGAGAGCCAGGCAGGGACCTGGCCTCCAGTGAAAATGGCACTGAGTGCCGCAGTGGCTTTGTGCGGCATAACGGCTCCTGCCGGTCAGTGTGCGACCTCTTCCCAAGTTACTGTCACAATGGCGGCCAGTGCTACCTGGTGGAGAACATAGGGGCCTTCTGCAGGTAAGGGCATGGCAGGCAGGTGCATAGGGACACTGAAGTGTGTATGTGAGGCCGACTCAACAGAGGGCAGTGTGACAGGCACAGCTTGCAAGAGGTTGTACAGTCGTAGGATTCCCAGGTGGAGAAATGTTCACTCAGGCTTCTACAGAATTACTTCGTAAAATACACTTCCTGTGACCTTATCACTAGGAGAGATTCCTCAGAAATAAGATTCTGTCTTTCCTCTGTGCGTTGTGTCCTTACCCAAACCCTCAGTTACAAGGGCAAAATGAGGCTGGGCGCCGTCGCTCATGTCTGTAATCCCAGCACTTTGGGAGGCCAAGGTGGGCAGATCACTTGAGGTCAGGAGATCGAGACCATCCTGGCTAACACGTGAAACCCTACTAAAAATGCAAAAATTAGCCGGGCGTGGTGGCGGGCGCCTGTAGTCCCAGCTACTAGGGAGGCTGAGGGAGAATGGTGTGAACCCAGGAGGCGGAGCTTGCAGTGAGCGGAGATTGTGCCACTGCACTCCAGCCTGGGCGACAGAGCGAGACTCCGTATCAAAAAAAAAAAAAACATAAAAAATTTAGCCGGATGTGGTGGTGGGCGCCTGTAATCCCAGCTACTCGGGAGGCTAAGGCAGGAGAATTGCTTGAACCTGGGAGGTGGAGGTTGTGGTGAGCCGAGATCGCACCATTGCACTCCAGCCTGGGTAACAGGAGCGAAACTCTGTCTCAAAAAAAAAAAAAAGAAAAGAAAAAGGCAAAATGAAGGGACTTCTTTAAGACTTTTGGAAAGAGGGCTGGGTTGAGGAGTGTTTGCTGGAGAGAGTTCTGGCGGTACTGGTGAGAGGGGTAGGCCCATAAACCTACTCTGTGGGATAAAGACAGCTGCTGAACACTGCTCTGTGCCTTGTGCACAGAGGGAGGAGGGGCCAGTTCCTCAGAAGGGATGTAGGCATGCAAACTCAAAAGGAAGGACCTTCTTGGAAACAGACCCCAAAATGCAGCCACTCACACAGGTAAAATCAAGCTAAGGGTCTTCGTATTGCAGATGGAGGGGTGTTTCTTGACTTTGGGAGGTGGCTTTTTTCTCTCTACTTTGATGTTTGTCTACCTTGGGATATCATATCCATAATCCTTTTAAAGACTCAGAGTTTAGTTTCCCTAAGGGCATTGTCTGCAGCTCATCAGTAATTACCCTACTCACCTCACTCTTGGGAACTGCCCTCACAGTGAGGTATTTAACTTGCTGCAGAGCTTGCAGCCTGATTCCAGAAGAATCCCAGGTTGGGGTGATCAGGTGGTTTGCTTGTCTCCATCCTTTACTGGCTGTAGAAGTGGAGTAGAGCCCTCAGACTCCTTTGAGGGTTGTCTCCATTAGTCCTAAGTGGAGCACTTCTGTCATCTGACTGTCTCTTTTTATTTTTAGTAGAGACAGCGTTTCACCATATTGGCCAGGCTGGTCTCAAACTCCTGACCTCAAGTGATCCGCCCACCTCAACTTCTCAAAGTGCTAGGATTACAGGCGTGAGCCACCATGCCCGGCCAGGGTATCTCTTTTTCAAGTGTCATTCTCCATCCTTCTTGTTCTTGTTTGTTCTGCAGGTATATGAAGAATTCAAGTTCCTTAAGTCCTGATGTAGTGATCAGAGAATAACATATAGAAAGCAATGAGCATTTTGTCCTTGGCATTGTAACTTGAGTTCCAGTTTCTTTCTATGAAGTTCTTTTTTGTTTGTTTGTTTTGAGATGAAGTCTTGCTCTGTCGCCCAGGCTGGAGTGCAGTGGCACAATCTCGACTCACTGTAATCACCGCCTCCCAGGTTCACACCATTCTCCTGCCTCAGCCGCCTGAGTAGCTGGGACTACAGGTGCCCGCCACCACACCCGGCTAATTTTTTGTATTTTTAGTAGAAACGGGGTTTCACTGTGTTAGCCAGGATGGTTTCAATCTCCTGACCTCGTGATCTGCCCACCTCAGCCTCCCAAAGTGCTGGGATTACAGGCGTGAGCCACTGCGCCTGGCCGAAGTTCTTTTTTATAAATGGTCATGACTTTAGGGTCACTCATAGGACGTGACCACACAGTTCTTGGAGTTGCCCAGCCACTGCCAAAAGGAGGTACTGTGATTAAGAAATTGTAGCAGTTTTATTTTAAAAAAGAAAATATGGCAATAAACTAACTTGCCCATTGATTAAGGGCTACCAGAAATATGAGGAAACCCTGTGATTTTGCTCCTCAAACTTCAGTTTGGGGGACTATAGTGATGTAGCCTGGGGGTTTGTGCAACCTCTTTGCAAAATCATCATCTTTCATCCTATTGGAGGCCTGGAATTTTCACCTTCAAAGTGAACTCCTCATAATAGTATGAAATTTTACAGCTCTAGAGAGCTGTAAAAATTCCCAGAATCTCCTGGAACTCTCGGAAAATTCCCAAGTAGAAGAATAAGATTGTCTTCCTCACTAAGCTACATGGCTCTGCCAGCATGGGTCTACCAGCCTCTCACTGCCTCGCAAGGGCTTCTCCACGTGTCCACTCCAGTTCCCCTTGCTTAGCTTCCATCCCAGGATCACATTCGGGCCTTCCTACCAGATTCCTCCCCTGGCTGTGTACACCCAGGCCTGGCCACGGCTTGAAAACTATTTTTGCATTCCACTCACAGGAGACTGCTGAGCCGTTGGTTGCAGACTGCAGTGTGCCTTTGTCTCTGTCACCCTGACCCACTGCAGGGAAATGAGCAGAGCCGTGGCGGAACTTCTCTAGAACACTGGAGTAGAGGGCCCCGCTTAGAGGGGTCTGCATTCCCTGGCAACCTCAAACAGATAGCCCTCCATGACGGCAGAGGCTCAGTTGGAAAACAAAGAATTTCTTGCTAGCCATGTCTCCCCACCCTATTCTAGATGTGGAGTAGCCAGTTCTCTGGTGCATAATTTCCCCATTTCTGGACGCTTTTCTCTTGTCAGTCATTCACCCTGAGGTTCATGTCCTCCCTCCTTTGCCTGCCTCTGTATCCTTCCACATCTTTCCTCTTTGAAGTAGCCTCGTTCCCATGGAAACAGCAATGTCATTGGAAGAGTTGGAGCCTGGGAATGTCCCCAAGGGCAGGAGAAAGTCACTCAACAAAAAGACTAAAACCCACCCAGAGGGTTGATTCTCACTGTGCTTGCATGACAGTTCTCATAGTACTAGAATAGGGAGCTTTAGGGGCAGAACTTGGGGGGCTGCAGAGATAGAAGGATCTACATCCATCTTTCTGTTTGTCCTTGTCTGTCACTTCCTTATTTTTCGGTGTCTTCTTAGCCACGTGAACTAGGTGGGACTACAAAGCAGCAAGATAGGTTTGCATGTGCAGGGCAGGTCCTGGGACTTTGTAGTTGTAGCTCTTATTCCTCTTGTTTTTCATCTTTCTTTCACCCAGAGCCAAGGGCAGGGAGAGGCCTGAGAGGATCCTGTTGGTGTCTTCATTGAGGCTGCACAGCAGAAGACCAGGATTCCCTTCCCTCCTCAGTCACTTAGCAGTCAGAGAACTTTGACCAGTTCACTCAGTTTCTCTACTCCTCGGTTACCTCATTTATATCACAGACCTCAGAGCTCCCTGGCCCACTTCATAGAATGGTTGTGAAGGTGGGGGCGATCACACCAGCTCTGAGGTCTGTGCAGATTCGGAGCATTGCAGTTGCTCTGGTTGGCCTTAGGAACAGGCTGTGGAGATAGGTGTTGGGGTGAGGGCCCAGGCCCTTGCTGTGGCCGTGGCTGCCTGCTCCATCGCTACGGTTTCTCAATGTCGCTGCTGCAGGTGCAACACACAGGACTACATCTGGCACAAGGGGATGCGCTGCGAGTCCATCATCACCGACTTCCAGGTGATGTGCGTGGCCGTGGGCTCAGCTGCCCTCGTCCTGCTCCTGCTCTTCATGATGACGGTGTTCTTCGCCAAGAAGCTCTACCTTCTCAAGACGGAGAACACCAAGCTGCGTAGGACCAAGTGAGTCTGTGTCACTCACCCGTCCACCCAGGTCAGGGTGTGGGAGGCCCCCGACCCTGCTATACCCCTCCAATTGATCCAGGGACTTTGTCCTGAGGGTTTCTGGCACCTGTGCTCCATTCCCAGCTGTTTTGTTGGTGCTAAAGATTCACCCAGGCTCATCTGTTCCCACACAAAATGTGCTGGAGCTGCAGCAGAGGTGAAGCCCCTGTGGCACACTGCCGCTGTCCAGCAGCTTTCCCAAACCCCTGCCCTAGGCATCTGAGAGCCTGCTTTAAAAAGGCAACCAGCATGTAGCTACTCCTCCTCTAGCCCCCAAGTAAGTTACTCAGTCTGTCCACCCCCCTGATAGCCCCTTCTTCCCTGGACTGTGACAGCCAGCAGCCAGTGCGAGATGTCATTCACAATTCTGTGTGGAGGAACTCCATCTCTTTCACATCTGTCATCCAAAACCATCTCCTCTTCGGTGAATGCTGAGGAGAAAGTGTTTATTGAGCACCATACTGCATTGGTTTTTGAAAGCTAGTCAAGCCTGTGTCCAATCGGAAGTGCAAGGAACTTAAGGAAATCCTCTTTACCTCTCCTGAAAAGAATATGTGGGGAGAACTAGGTTTAACTTCCTCTACTGTGGATTTTAAGGGCCATATGGGATGTAGAATCTTATTTCAGCTCTTCCCTTAGCAAAGCAGTGACTATTGTGTGCATGTGAGAATCAACATGTGTTTGCCTTTAAGCCTGTGCCTTGAACACTAGGATGTGACCTTATACGCTATGAGAGAATTACTCCTATCACTAAGCAAAGTTAGAAAACCTTTTGGAAGTGTCACAGGAGTCACAAAAGGGAGATTGGAGTTCAGCTTCCTTGGGACCCCAGAAACAATTTATGCAGAACTGCTCCCACTTCCCTTTCAACCTGTTGCCCCATTAATCCCCCTCCCCTTGACCTGAGACTTCCTCTAGAGAATATGACTGAAGGACTTTCCCTGGGTCCTGGGAAAAGGACAAAACACCATCTGTTGCTCCTTTGCTGGGTGGACTCACACAATATACAGATGCCAGCAGCTCTCTGCAGCCTTTCAGCTAACCGCCGCGGGGCTGGTAGGGCCTCTCCATTGTGCCTGTGCACTGAGGCGGGCTGCATCTACGCACGTGATCACTCCAGAAAGACACAGTCCTGGACCCCTGGCTCCTCACGACTACACCAAGGGGGTGGGTGAGCAGGGGTATCCAGGGGACAGGAGATGGGACTGCTTCAATCACGGCAGTTGCTGATGAGGATGGAGGAGAGAAAGGAACAACAGCCAGGGCAGTGAAGAAGCAAGAGCTGAAGCCAGGTGCAGGACACTATTCTAGGGCCTCCTCCTCTAGCCAGCCCTGTGTTTTTCACAGAGCATGGCCCTCTTGTTTCTCCACATGCCTTCTTTCTTTCCCAAGCCTGGTTACTGCTTTGATGGTGTGACATGCACCTGGTGCACTGCAGATACTGCCATAATTTATTTATTCTAAAATATACCTTTTTTCCCCCACATATTAACATCTCTGAAATTGGATTGTGTCTTACAATCACTGGCATCTTTTTTTTTTTTTAATTGAGACAGGGTCTCACTATGTTACCTAGGGTGGTCTTGAACTCCTGGGCTCAAGTGATCCTTCCACCTCAGCCTCCCAAATAGCTGTGACTACAGGCATGCACCACTGTGCCCAGCCACTGGCATCTTATGATCACTGTTGGCCACATGGTAGTTATGATGTAGTGGTAATTCCCCGGCATGCACAAATGGGTTCCTAGCTGTTCATATTGTTGTCAGTCCCTTATCTAAAGTCTAAAAGAACTACTTCAAGTATATAAGAAAAGCTCAGTTGGGCATGGTGGCTCATGCCTATAATCCCAGCACTTTGGGAGGCCGAGGCAGGTGGATCACGACGGGTGGATCACAAGGTCAGGTGTTCAAGACCAGCCTGGCCAAGATGGTGAAACCCCGTCTCTACTAAAAATACAAAAATTAGCTGGGTGTGGTGATGGGCGCCTGTAGTCCCAGCTACTCGCGAGGCTGAGCCAGATAATGCTTGAACCCAGGAGGTGGAGGCTGCAGTGAGCCGAGATTGTGCCACTGCACTCCAGCCTGGGCAACAGAGCAAGACTCTGTCTCAAAAAAACAAAAACAAAAACAAAAAAAACCTCTAAGGTGTAAGAAAGTATTGGATGATGGTTTAAGTGGTGGAAGTGTTTTTATTTTTTCTTAATGGTACATCAAATAATGGTGCATCTTATTACAGTCCATGGCATTTGGCTAGATGCTATGACTCATGCCTGTAATCCCAAGACTTTGGGAGGCCAAAGCAGGAGTACCACCTGAACCCAAGGATTTGAGTCCAGCCTGAGCAACATAGCAAGACCTCATCTTTACAAAAAAAAAAAAAAAATTTGTTTTAAGATAATCCAGGAGAGGGGAGGGAGAGCATTAGGACAAACAGCCAATGCACGTGGGGCTTAAAACCTAGATGATGGGTTGATGGGTGCAGCCAACTACCATGACACACGTATACCTATATAACAAACCGACATGTTCTGCACTTATATCCCGGAACTTAAAGTAAAATTTAAAAAAAAGATAATCCGTGGCATTTGATAAAACACAGTATTTGGCTGGGCACAGTGGCTCACACCTGTAATCCTAACACTTTGGGAGGCTGAGGCAGGCAGATTGCTTGAGCTCAGGAGTTCAAGATCAGCCTGGGCAACATGGTAAAACCCCATCTCTACAAAAATTACCTGGGCATGGTGGCATGCACCTGTAGTCCCAGCTACTTGGGAGGATGAGGTGGGAGGATCACTTGAACCCAGGAGGTCAAGGCACAGTGAGCTGTGATTGTGCCACTGCACTCAAGCCTGGGCAACAGAGTGAGACCCTGTCTCAAAAAGAAAAGAAAAGAAAAGCCTTTAAAAACCGATAACCAGCACTAGGCACAGTTCTGCACTTACCAATAAAATTTAAAATACTTTTTTTAATAAAGAAAGAAATACAGTATTTGGTTTTTTTGTTTGTTTGTTCTTTGAGATGGAGTCTCGCTCTGTTGGCCTGGCTGGAGTGCAGTGGCACGATCTCGGCTCACTGTAACCTCCGCCTCCCGGGTTCAAATGATTCTCCTGCTTCAGCCTCCCAGGTAGCTGGGATTACAGGTGCATGCCACCACAGCCAGCTAATTTTTGTATTTTTAGTAGAGATGGGGTTTCACCATGTTCACCAAGCTAATCTGACTCCTGACCTCAAGTGATCTGCCTGCCATAGCCTCCCAAAGTGCTAGGATTACAGGCGTTGAGCCACCACGCCCGGCCGAAATACAGTATTTGATCCAGAAGCTGAGACATTGTCATGTTTTGTCGTGATTATTTCACTTACATTTTTCCTTCACTCTTCTCTCTTAATCAGCAAATTCCGGACCCCAGCTGAACTCCACAATGATAACTTCTCCCTCTCCACCATTGCCGAGGGCTCTCACCCAAATGTAAGGAAACTTTGCAACACTCCCCGTACCTCCTCCCCCCATGCCCGTGCCTTGGCTCACTATGATAACGTTATCTGTCAGGTAACTTGTTTTCTTCACATCTCTCCTCTTATGCATGCTTTGGCCCCTAGCCCATGTCTGGTGTCTATTTCAAAGTATGAAATCCCCAGAGAGCTCTGGAGGTCAGCCTAGGGCAACTGGGTTGGGCAGCAAAGGTGGGAATAAGCACTTGATGATGGATCACTTATTTGACAAGCAGAATTTTAAATAGAAAAGGTCTTTTTCTTTTTAAAATTTTTATAGAGATGAGGTCTCACTGTGTTGCCCAGGCTGGTCTCAAACTCCTGGCCTCAAGTGGTCTTCGTGCCTCAGCCTCCTAAAGTGCTCGGATTGTAGGCGTGAGCCACCTGCCTGGCTGAGAAGATCTTTTTCTAGGATTACTCATGACTTTTTGCTTCATCTATGCTTTAGAAGTCTGATTATTGTCTTATTTTCCATATCAAGGAGAAAGGCTCTGCTTTCACTGCTGAGGAATTTCATGATGGTCAGTGAAGCAAATGATGGTTGCTCTTTGGGATGGGTGGAAAGAGTTCTGTGTCCTTGCTGCTATTTGAAGACCCTAAGAACTGGCAGGGTTATACACAGCTGGTTAGGGCCAAGGTCTGAAAACCAAACACTGGCAGAGCCTTAAGTCTAGGAATAATCCTGTTCTTAGGAGGATGGGCTTGTAAATATCAGTTGAAATCCAATAAAGATCCCAATAGACCATTTTCTTTTTTTTTTTTTTTTTTTTTTGAGACGGAGTCTCGCTCTGCCGCCCAGGCTGGAGTGCAGTGGCCGGATCTCAGCTCACTGCAAGCTCCGCCTCCCGGGTTCACGCCATTCTCCTGCCTCAGCCTCCCGAGTAGCTGGGACTACAGGCGCTGCCACCTCGCCCGGCTAGTTTTTTGTATTTTTAAAGTAGAGACGGGGTTTCACCGTGTCAGCCAGGATGGTCTCGATCTCCTGACCTCGTGATCCGCCCGTCTCGGCCTCCCAAAGTGCTGGGATTACAGGCTTGAGCCACCGCGCCCGGCCTCAATAGACCATTTTCTAAAGACTATGGCCTAGTGTATTGCCTAGATTAGACCAGTAAAATACTAGAGAGAATTTCGAAAACAAGGCAGAAACCATCCAAATCCCAAATCGTGCCACATCCAAATCCTAGAATTCTCTATATAATGCAGGTTCCATACTTCAAGATAAATGCATTTTTACACAGATTATTACACAGATAAACAAGCTAAACTGAGACTGCAGACTGAAGCAATGGAGTTTAAGAAGAAATTTAGAAGACGTTCTTAGAAATCATGGACCATAGAGTGTCAGACCTCACAGGGGCCTCAGCAGTCTAGACCAATACTGTCCAGTGGAACTTTCTGTGAAATACAAGTATTCTATATCTGCTCTGTCTACTACAACAGCCACTAGCCACTTGCGGCTGCAGAGCTCTTAAAAGGTAGTTAATGCTACCACTTTACACAGTGCAGACCTAGACTCCTGGGCTCAAGTGATACCCCTGCCTCAGCCTCCTGAGTCGCTAGGACTACAGGCATGTGCCACCACACCTGGCTCATTATTTTAACTTTTGTAAAGATGGGGTTTTGCCATGTTGCCCAGGCTGGTCTCAAACTCCTGGGTTCAAGTGATCCTCCTGCCGCAGCCTCCCAAAGTGTTAGGATTACAGGTGTGAGCTACCATGACTGTCCTTTTTCCTTTTATAGATGGGGAAATTGCAGCCCCAGAAGGAGGAAGAGAGAATAAGAGTAAATGTGTGGCCTCATTCACAAAACCCCAGAATAGGAAATCTTGGCCTGGTACAGGAGAAGTAAATGGGTGAATTTAAATATGAAGTAAAAGAGGTAAACTTAGGATAATTTTTTAAAGACTTTGATGTAAAGGGTAGAAAAAGAACAGATTATTTCACTTGGTATGTACCAAGATACAACAAGTAAGGTCAAGATGAACATTATAACCAAGGAAACACTATGTCTTATAAACTGTAAGATTGGTCGCCATGTTCATCAACCCACAGAGATGTAGGCACCCTGAGGGCAGGACAGAGTCTCGCTCACTCTTCTCGGTGAGCACATTACCCCGCCCTCTTCAGTAACATGCACACAGTCAGCACTTGCTGAATACTAGTGAGTGATGGCCTGCTACGGGGGCTCTCGGTTCCACTGGCCAATCTGCCATCCTGCAGATGGCAGCAGGTCTGCCACGGCGGGAGCTCCTGTAGTCAGCATGTTCACTGTCCACGGTTGGACAGAGTCCTCCCACTCCGCTTGACAGAGTGCAAGCGTCCTTAGGAAAGTTTCTGACCCTTGTGTTTCTGGTACCATAGCTTCAGACACCTTTCCTCTTCCCAGAGGGGGAAAAGAAAGAGCTCCTCTTGGAGGGCTTGGCTACACAGCCAGTGCAAAGGTTTCTTGTTCTTGGCTGATCCAGCTTTGTGGAAAGTGAGGTTTTTGTACCTGAACACTGCCACTGACCCTTAGTTCAGAAGATGGCAAGCCTTGAAAACAGCAGAGCAGGGGGTGGTCAGCCACAGAAGGGTGGTGGTCGGCCACAGTGGGTGGCTGGCCACAGGCAGTGGTGATCTAGCATGAGGCTTGGGGGTCAGCTACGGGGCGGGTGAGGGTGTCGGCCATGGTGGGCTATGCCTGAGACGGGGTGATGGGGTGGCCAAGGCAGCACTCAAGCCATCCGTTAGGAAGCAGCAAGATCTGGCTCTGGTTCTCTCCTGGCTCCTCTTAGATCTTGAGGCTGATGCCTTCTTTTTTTTTTTTTTTTTTTTTTTTGAGATGGAGTATCGCTCTGTCGCCCAGGCTGGAGTGCAGTGACCAATCTTGGCTCACTGCAAGTTCCGTCTCCCGGGTTTACACCATTCTCCTGCCTCAGCCTCCTAAGTAGCTGGGACTACAGGCGCCCGCCACCTCGCCCAGCTAGATTTTTTGTATTTTTTAGTAGAGACGGGGTTTCACCGTGTTAGCCAGGATGGTCTCGATCTCCTAACCTCATGATCCGCCCGTCTCGGCCTCCCAAAGTGCTGGGATTACAGGCTTGAGCCACCGCACCCGGCCCCCCCCCCTTTTTTTTTAACCAAATACCCAGACTTCAAGGAGATTGAGGCTGGTGTCTTTCTGTCAGCTTGTGCCCAAGGGGACATCATCCTCTCCTCTCTGAAAGCAGAGAGGTGACTCTCCTATCCAGCAGGAAATGTACTGGTGGATTTTCTACCTTCATCTCTAATTCTCTCCACCTCACCCAAAGGTCAAACTTAGTCATATTCAAGATCTTGTGGGCATTGCTGATGAACACTGTTGCCACTTGTTTATGAAGTGAAGCCCTGCTCACTGCTACAGCCGCCACACTGACTGCCTCCAAGGGGTGCCAGCAGCCGGGGAGAGTGAGAAATCCTCCAGATGAGCCGGGAGGAGAGACGAGGGGGCACTGGAGTCCAGCCTGCCTTGTGGCCTCTCCCCGCCCCTCTCTCCCCGCCCCCAAACTCCTTGCTGGCATTGGTGTTCTCTAAAATTTTGGAGAGTTTTATTTATTTTCATGGAGGCGTTATTTCTTTTATATAAGCAAAATAGGTTGAGCAGGTCAATTTCCTACACTGTTTCAATCACCTCTACTAGCCACACTCTGAAAAGATTGCAAACAAAAAAGTCTGGGGCTTTGGGCCTGTGACAGGGAAGGGTCAGTGGCTGGTATCTGTACCAGTGGCACCTACTTCCCTCCTCCACTCCTCTCTGCCCTCAGGCTGATGTGCGGCTCTGTAGCTGGCCAGCCTTAGGCTGAGTCTGTGTAAGTGTCTTGTGTAGCTGAACAACCAGCCTTGAAGGGTATGTCAGGAGGCACGGAGAGTGTAGGAAGCTGCCCGCGCTCCAGGCACACTGCATGAATGAAGCCACCAGAAACTCAGGGCAGCTGCCCCAACACTGGGCTGCCCTGGTGGTCCCCACAACGGTGCTGTGGAGACCATGGGGGTAACTTGGGTTGTACTAAGATTTGACAGACCTTCCAGGATTTCAGTTTATTACTAGGGTTTCTCCATTGATGCCCCTGTGCTTTTGTTTGTTTGTTTGTTTTTTCCTATTTAACTCTCACTTCCCAGACTCTCCTCTTGCATGTATTTGTTAAAGCACTGACTGCCCACCCTCTTCCAATAGACGTTTGCCTCTGACCAGTGGGGTCCAGACCTGAACCCACATGACCCCTGGGTTGAAGGGTGTCCATATTGCTGGGGTTGAAGGCTGGGAGCAGTGAGTCCACAGTGGTTCCTAGAAACTTATGCCAGATGTTGATCCAGCTCCCTTGTGATGAGGTACTTCTGTTAAGTCAAAGGCAGTTGGACCTGCTGTGGAATTCAGCTACCCTTGGCTTAATAGGATCAAGTTCTAGAGCAAACACCTGGGTTAGGAGAGCCCCATCTTGGTGTAGACATTCCTTTGCCTGTTGTGTTTGTTGGAGGGATTCAGCTTGTCTAATAGCGCTGTTTGCATATCTCTTGCTTTTGTGATATGCTTCTTCCATGCCTTGGCTCAGAAGGCAGTTTTCTTTTTTTTTTTTTTTTTTTTTTTGAGACAGAGTCTCGCTCTGTCGCCCAGGCTGGAGTGCTGTGGCCGGATCTCAGCTCACTGCAAGCTCCGCCTCCCGGGTTCCCGCCATTCTCCTGCCTCAGCCTCCCGAGTAGCTGGGACTACAGGCGCCCGCCACCTCGCCCGGCTAGTTTTTTGTATTTTTTAGTAGAGACGGGGTTTCACCGGGTTAGCCAGGATGGTCTCGATCTCCTGACCTCGTGATCCGCCCGTCTCGGCCTCCCAAAGTGCTGGGATTACAGGCTTGAGCCACCGCGCGAAGGCAGTTTTCTAATCTGGACCTCATGAGCCCTTGAGGGGTCAGGTTTAATCTGGGAGCTCACCTTCATGGCATCAGAGCTCTGAGACCTGGGTCTGTGAGGAGTCCCTTAGTCTACTTTTCCTCACGTTATGAGAATGTTTCTGTACCCCTGTATGCCCCCAAAGAATATGTGATGAAGGAGTTGAGGGTGAGAGGCTATCTTGAAAGACATAAAAGCAAGTTGTATCCTTGTAAGAGGAGAAGTGAGTATAGGTCCTCTTGTCCTGTTTCAGATTTTAGTGTGATTCAAAGTCCATCCTACATAATGATAGTGTTAGCTCAGCTCTCAAGCTTTCATGCCCATGGTTTCCCCCAAACAGTACAGAAGTACATGAAATAAAAAAGTGCAGCTCTACGTCACCCCCACTTCCCTCTCCATAAAGTACACACGTGTGTATATATATACACACAAACACACACCTATATCTATATTTTTGAAACATAAATGAGATTTTGCTATACATATGTTCTACCCCTTACTTTTTTTCAATCAATGTATCATGGAGATCTTTCTGTCTCAGCAGATGGACATTTATGTCGCTGCACAGTGTTTTCTGATTCTAAGCAGTGATTGACCGTTCAACTGGCTACACGTGCTATGTGCAGCTGCCTTGCCTCATGTATGCCTCAGTACTCTGTGAAGTTCATTGTCTTGTTCTTGTCTCATTGGGACAAGAAACATGTGTTCCCCTGTCTACAAATCATGTGTGAAGTCTTTGAAACTCTACTAAATTGTCCTCCTTAATATTGGCCTCTGGAGAAGCACTGAGTGAGGCTGTGGCCATTGGGCAGCTGGCAGTGATTTCCATACGCACAGAACTCGTGGACGCCCCGGTGTCCTGTGTGTACAAGCACCATGGAAAGCCTGGGGTCTCTCCCTACTTTCTTTCCAACTCATCACTCCCATAACCTAGTGCTGTTATGGGTCAAACTCAGTAGCAGGCAGCACAGACGAGGACTCACCAGACTTCTGTGGAGAACACCCTGGTCCTTAAGCATGATCCTGGTCCTTAAGGTAATCTTAAATTTTGGTAGTAGTTGAAGCAAGAATGGCCTTAGCTAGCTGGTCAGATTAGGACACTCTCTACCTTCTTGCCATCCATGAATCTGCCTTAGTGGTTACACACCCTCTTCCATCAGCAGAGTTCCAAGCACTTACAACAGCTGTTTGGGGCACCAGAGAAAGAACTGAAGCCCACTGAATTGTACTAGGTATATTCCCCTTAGGTGGTCCTAAAGGAAATGAGTAAAGCAAGAGTTGCCACAGAAGTTCTCTGAATGTGCAGAATGCAGACCTGGAGGACTTTGTGCTAGTGTGGGCTTCCTGAGAACCTTTAAAAGGCAAATTCAGGCTGGTGTGGTGGCTCACACCTGTCATCCCAGCACTTCGGGAGGCCGAGGTGGGTGGATCACTTGAGGCTAGGAGTTTGAGACCAGCCTGGCCAACATGGTGAAACCCCATCTCTACTAAAAATACAAGTTAGCCAGGCGTGGTCGCGAGCGCCTATAATCCCAGGTTCTGGGGAGACTGAGGCACGAGAATCCCTTGAACCCAAGAGGTTCAAGATTGCAGTCAGCCAAGATCACACTACTGTATTCTGGCCTGGGTGACACAGCGAGACTCCATCTCAAAAATAAATAAACACATACATACATATATACATAAAATGCAAATTCATCTCAGGTTCAGGAGTTTGTCAGAGAGAGCTTGTCACAGGGCTGTAGGCAGTATACATGGATTATTACATTAGAATCAGCAGTGCAAATATCATGTGATGCAGAGTGTGGCAAGCCATTGAGGCAGCCAGGTTCATTCGGGCTTGGATTGAGGACATCCTTTTGACAGGTTCGCTTGTGACAATGAGAGACTGACACATCTTTGACCTCTACTCAGAGGACATGCTCTTACTGTGGGGAGAGAGGCCCCTAGCATAGCCAGGAGCAGTTCTGCACTTTACCAGTCCTATGCATACCCCACTCTATACACTGATGAGACATGTTCCCTGACCAAGACATCTTTGTGAAAGCAAAACTCAACAGGATGGAAGGCCAGAGGAAGGCCGGGCTCAGCAGGCCACGCAGAGCTCATCAACACATGAGGCTATAGAGGCACCTGGGCCAAGGGACTCTTTCTTCCCGATCTCTGTTCAAGAGAAAACCTTGGACATGGCCCAAATTAAAGGTATATGTAAGCTGATTACTGTCAAGTTTTCCTCTCTGCCTGGCCATTGCTTTTAAGGATGACTTTCCTAAAAAGTTGCTGCTAATGAGTTACTTTTTGGTTCCTTTTAGTTAATTCAAGTCTTGGAGCTTTTTCCTTGTTTCAGTGATGCTTCCTTCAGCCAGATAGAAAAACCTGATATTATTATTTGATTGCTGTATGCATTGTCTCCCCCCACCCCAACTTTTTCCCTCTTCCAGGATGATCCTAGTGCTCCCCACAAAATCCAGGAGGCTCTCAAATCCTGCCTGAAAGAGGAGGAGTCATTTAACATCCAGAACTCCATGTCGCCCAAACTTGAGGGTGGCAAAGGTGACCAGGCTGACTTGGATGTGAACTGTCTTCAGAATAATTTAACCTAAAACAGAGCAAGAAGAGAGGAAGCGGGGCTGGTGGGGGGGGGGGTAGGGGAAAGAAACATTATCTCCTCTTGTACAGAGTCTATTTCTTGTAACCATTTGTTAAACTCTTCTTTTTCTGATCTCATGGCATGCTTTGATGTATTTTGTACAGGAGGCAAAAAAAAAAAATACTTAAAATAAGCAAAGAAACTGAACAAAATTGCATACATTGGGTTGTTTTGTCTGTGCTGTCTGTACATTGCTTCTGCTGCTGTGATTTCTAAACCTGTGCTGTTATTCAACTGACTTTTTTTTGTACTTTGACCCACCTTTTTTTGAAATACCAGTAAAAAAACAAAGTTCTTGAAATAAAACTTTTTAAAAAGTTATTCATTTTCTTAGTCATTGTGTCCACTCCTTTAAGTTTGAGTTGAGTTACCTCCACTGAAGATGTTTGTTTATCTATTTATTTATTTTGAGGTGGAATCTTGCTCTGTCGCCCAGGCTGGAGTGCAAGGCTCATGGCGGCTTTACCTCCCCAGCTCAAGTGATCCTCCCACCTCAGCCTTCGGAGTAGCTGGGACTACAGGTGCATGACAACACACCTGGCTAATTTATACATCATTTTTTTGGAAAGGCAGAGTCTCACTATGTTGCCCAGGCTGGTCTCAAACTCCTGGGCTCAAGCAATCTTTCACCTCAGCCTCCCAAAGTGCTGGAATTACAGGTGTGAACCACCGCACCTGGCCAAGGATGTATATTTATTTATATTTATTTATTTGTTTGTTTATTTTTTGAGACAGAGTCTCACTCTGTTGCCCAAGCTGGAGTGCAGTGGCGTGATCTCGGCTCAATGCAACCTCCACCTCCTGGGTTCAAGTGATTCTCATGCCTCAGCCTCCCAAGTAGCTGGGACTATAGGTGTGTGCCACCAGGCCTGGCTAATTTTTGTATTTTTAGAAGAGACAGGGTTTCACCATGTTGGCCAGGCTGGCAAAGATGTATATTTAAACATGTTTGAAATATCAGAAATGTTCTGTGTGTTTGTCTGCTTAGGCTATCATGACAAAATACCACAGACTGGGTGGCTTAAACAGCACAAATTTATTTTCTCATGGTGCTGGAGGCTGGAAGTTCAAGATCAACCCAAGAGGGTTGGTTTCTGATGAAGCCTCTCTTCCTGGCTTGCAAATAGCTGCCTTCTTATTGCATCCTCACACGGCTTTTTCTCTGTATACATGTGGAAAGAGAAAGATCTTTGATGTCAGTTCCTGTTCTTACAAGGACACCAATCCTATTGGATTAGGGCCCCTCCTTTATCAGCTTTTTAATCTTAGCCCATTAAAAGCCCTGTCTCCAAATATAGTCACAGTGGAAATTGGGGCTTCAACGTATGGATTTTGGGGGAACACAGTTCAGCCTGTAACAGTCTGTATCACCTATTATTAAGAATACTCTGGCTGGGCGCAGTAGCTCTCGCCCACTGTAATCCCAGCACTTTGGGAGGCCGAGGCGGGTGGATCACAAGGTCAAGAGATCGAGACCATCCTGGCCAACATGGTGAAACCCCGTCTCTACTAAAAATACAAAAATTAGCTGGGCGTGGTGGCGCATGCCTGTAGTCCCAGCTACTCGGGGGGCTGAGGCAGGAGAATCACTTGAACCTGGGATGCGGAGGCTGCAGTGAGCCAAGATCATGCCACTGCACTCCAGCCTGGGTGACGGAGTGAGTCTCTGTCTCAAAAAATACATATACACTTTCATTCTTTCATAAATGTTTAGTAAGCTGGGCAGCATGGCACACACATATAGTCCCAGCTACTCAGGAGCCTGAGACAGGAGGATCAATTGAGTCCAGGAATTCTGGGCTATAGTGCACTCTGATGATCCGGTGTCCACACTAAGTTTGGTAACAATGTGGTGTCCCCTGGGAGCATGGGACCACCAGGTTGCCTAAGGAGGGGCAAACCAGCCCAGATCAGAAGCAGAAAAGGTCAAAACTCTCGTGGTGATCATTAATGGGATTAAGCCTGTGAATAGCTATTGCACTCCAACCTGGGCAACACAGCTGAGACCCTACCTCTAAAAATTAAAATGTTTATTAAGCACTTACTCTGAGCCAGCACTATGCTAGATGCTAGGAATACTAAATGAATAAAATAGATCCAAACCTCAACAAGTTAATAGTCGGCTTGAGAAACAGACATAAACAAACAATTATAACAGTGTGTCAGTACAAATAATTAGAATACTGTGTCAGTGTGTAAAAAGCTATGAGAGTTGGAGTTAAGATTTCAGAAAGGGCCGGGCGGGGTGGCTCATGCCTGTAATCCCAGCACTTTGAGAGGCCAAGGGGGGAGGATCACCTGAGGTCAGGAGTTCGAGCCCAGCCTGGCCAATATGATGAAACCCCGTCTCTACTAAAAATGCAAAAATTAGCTGAGCGTGGTGGCGGGCACCTGAAATCACAGCTACTTGGGAGGCTGAGGTAGGAGAATTGCTTGAACTCAGAGGACAAAGTTTGAAGTGAACTGAGATGGTGCCACTGCACTTCAGTCTGGGTGACAGAGCAAGACTCCGTCTCAAAAAAAAAAAAAAAAAGGCTGGGCGCAGTGGCTCAAGCCTGTAATCTCAGCACTTTGGGAGGCCGAGATGGGCAGATCAGGAGGTTAGGAGATCGAGACTATCCTGGCTAACACGGTGAAACCCTGTCTCTACTAAAAAATACAAAAAACTAGCCGGGCGAGGTGGCAGGCACCTGTAGTCCCAGCTACTCGGGAGGCTGAGGCAGGAGAATGGCATAAACTCAGGAGGCGGAACTTGCAGTGAGCTGAGATCCGGCCACTGCACTCCAGCCTGGGCGACAGAGCGAGACTCCATTTCAAAAACAAACAAACAAACAAAATATATATATATATAAAATATATATATACACACACACATATATATATTTCAGAAAGGCTTCAAAGAGAGGAGGTTTAAATTGGACTTTGAAGGATAAGGAGGCATTTTTCAGGATAAAATAGGAGACGAGGACATTGAAGGCAAAGGTGGAATACCCAGGAAAGTAGTCTATATGAAGAGATTGTATGATGAAGCTGAAAAGGGCAGTTTAGGACAGATTACAAACAGCCCTGAATGCCATTTAAGCACAGAGCTGAGGGATAGTCAGATTTGTTTTGTTTAAAGACAACTCTGGAGACAGTGGGTAAGGCAGATTGAGGATGGGGATTGTAGTATGGGGATGGATTAGAGAGTGAAGATTTCAAATAGCCAGACTTACCAGCGATTGGAGTTTTCTTGAACATTTTGCCTGTGTTCATTCTGTGATCATTCCAATAACTGGAATCCTTGTGTGTTCCTGTCACCTAATTTCTGCTGGTTCCCCCGATGTGTGTTCACGTGTGCCTCATTTTTTACTTTGTGCTGGACATTGTATTTGAAAACCTGTTCATTAAAATATTTTGAAGCCTAGGACAATTTCTGCCTCTAGAGAGGAATTTTATTTGCTTCTGTCAAGTACCCAGGAGCACTAGAATTCTGGGGTCACAGTAATCCAGATTCAAGGTTGGATATTTTCTAAGCCACTGAAACCAAGCCACAGACCTGTCAGACTATGCAAGGGCTGGTTTGCTTCTGGTTTATCCTTAACCCTAGGGTATAATCCTCTCAGGTCACACCTCAAAACAGGCAGTGGTTTACCAGTATTCCACCTTTGGTAGGCCCCGTACTCCAGCTCCCCCTGCCCAGCCCTACAAAACTTTCAGAAACACAACCCATTCTCTCCATTGCCTCTGCTAAATGGGCAGTTGCCTCCAGGCCCAAGTGGCCCAAATGCTGGGCTCACCTGTCTGGATTCGTGTCCTCTCTGGGATGTTAGCCTAGTAATTCTTTAGTATCTTGTTAGCTCTTTGATGCTTTTCAAATGTTTTGGCTCCTAGTGCAAGAGTTGGTACAATTTACCTAGTCTCCCATTTACTAACAACAGAAGTCCTCTGTTTTCATCTTGGGTCCCTTGCCCAGATGGTGTTTAGCTGGCGCCATGAGCTCAGTCTGCTCTTTGCTGTAGCATAGGGCTGCATATTGGGACGTGTGTCATGGGTTCCTAACCACATCTCTGACCCACTTTCAGCTCGTTGGTTCTGCTTGGGCCTTTCTGGACTCTGTTAACTAGGGAACCTGTCTTTCGTGGATAGGTACCTCTGGATCCTTTCACAATTAGGCCCAATCAAGAGGGACTGGATGTAAAAGTACTTTGTAGGCCGGGCGTAGTGGCTCATGTCTGTAATCCCAGCACTTTGGGAGGCCGAGGCGGGCAGATCACCTGAGGTCAGGAGTTCAAGACCAGCCTGGCCAACGTGGTGAAACCCCGTCTCTACTAAGAAAAAATATAAAATTAGCCAAGCATTGTGGCAGATGCCTGTAATCCAAGCTACTCGGGAGGCTGAGGCAGGAGAATCACTTAGATCCAGGAGGTGGAGGTTGCAGTGAGCCGAGATCGCCCCATTGCACTCCAGCCTGGGCTAAAAAAGGGAAACTCCGTCTCAAAAAAAAGCACTCGGGAGGCTGAGACAGAATTGCTTGAACCTGGGAGGCAGAGGTTGCAGTGAGCCGAGATTGTGCCACTGCACTCCAGCCTGGGCGACAGAGTGAGACTCCGTCTCCAAAAAAAAAAAAAAAAAAAAAAAAAAGTGCTTTGTAAATTCTAGATCTCAGCAGACAGAAGGTTTTCTTAGTGTTGTGCTCTGTTTTGTTTCTGCTGCAAGAGTGTTATGAAATATGTGTCAAAGCCCTTGGCTCTGTCTCACCTACCCAGCACAATGCAAGAGGGATAGGAAAGCCCGGATCAGAAGGGGAGCAGGAGATGGCGGAGGCCTATGGAATAGAGTTACTGGATGTTGCCAAGAGTCTTGGACCCAAAGAAGGGGCTGAAGTGTTAGAACAGGGTATATTGATTTCCATCTGCGTCTGTCCTCTTTCCTGCCAGAGTGTTTGTGCTTCTTGACGACTGTGATCCATAGGCCTGACAAGAGTTCTCTGGGGACCTTGTCCTTTCTCAGATAATTTATCCTGATGAAAAGGCTCATCTGTGCTCCAGAAAGCAGCACTAAACACTGAACTCGGAGCTAGAAGTTCTCTCTGTTCAGGAGCCATGTGCTTTCTGAACCTAAGGCTCTTCATCTATAGAATCTTTGCCTTTTCCTAGGACTAGCTAGGCATCAGGGATATAGCAATGAATAAAACGGACCAAAAACTTTGCCTTGTGAAGCGTATTTCTCAGTGTCATGAAATTCATTCAGGGTTCTCCAGGCCCAAGGGAAAGGGCGGTACCAGCAGGGGAACAGAGGCAGCTTCACTGGTCCAGGAGCAGGGAGCATGCGAATACCAC